ACATGTCGATGGACAACTAGCGGACAGTCCTACGGACCAGTCCTGTGGAACGGTCCATAGACATTTGGTGGTCATAGGTAACGGACAGATCTATGGACAGACGAGCCGTGGTGGACAGCTGCGGACACATGCCATGGACGTTTCAAACGACGGACTGTAGTTATGAATGCAGACTGAACCGAGGACAGGTCATGGACTGGTCCTCGGACAGACTGATGGACACAATAGACATGGTGGACAGTTGGGGACTGCACAAGGACAGCCACGGACAGTTGGGGACTGCACAAGGACAGCCACGGAGAGTTGGGGACTGCACAAGGACAGCCACGGACATATGCGGACCATTCCACGGACTGTCCATCGGCTCATCAGGGCCCTAATTTTATAAGGACATTTCACCTCCAAAATAGCATTGCTACCAATCAGACCATCTGGACTTGCCCCAATCTTGCCACTGCTGTGCAGCCACAATCCTGTTTCCACAACCTGTGAACAGGAGAGAAACACAGTGTGACATATGCAATTGCTTTGTTAATTGAATAAGAAGTTACACAAATTACCTGGAGACCAGACTTTCTCTCAAACATTTTTGCTGCGGGCCCTTCATTGTCATTTCCCCAATTCAAGGCATGAACACTAGAACCTGGTTTAGGAGGTTTCTTTTTGTTGGTTACAGAAGGTGCAGGTACAGTGTTACCCTCTAAAAAAGTCTTCATTAGGGATTTGCATGGCTTCCTATTCTTTTCAATGGTTTTCAGAACTTCACCAAATTTGCTAGCTGTTATGCGGTGAATTCTTCCTTTCAGCCACAAGCTATTTTTCCTCTGGCCCACAGTTCTTTGGGCAATTGCGACAATTTCTTCTCTAGACACCTTCAAAAAAATTTCTAGGGACAATTTCTTATTGGTAGAAGAAATGAATTCGGAGCTGAGGATAAAATCTTTCACATAGATTAGTCTATCATCTTTTACATCAGCAGGTGGGGGACTGAGGAGCCATAGAGCACCAGCTGCACCGTCCGCACACATACCACTACATCTCAAAGCAAAGTTAAAGTCGTGGTCTGTAAGAGGAAGTGTCAGTGCTCTATAGGAAGGATGGGAGGGGGGAAACAGGTCTGAAACTTTATTTCCTGTGTTCCTGTCACCCCTCTCCGCAGGCAGACTCCAGCGTTGAGCAACATCAGTGCAGGTGACAAGGTAGTGAGCATTTAAAAGCAGGGCAATCATATGGTGGCACACAGCATTGCCTTTGACACAACCACAGCGCCCAGACTCATCGCCTTTCAGTGCACCATGATCACCCATCTTCATCGTTATCTAATGGACACATGCATAAATTATTAGGAGCAAAGGATAATTCAAAATACGTACCCACTTTCCATTTCCATCCGTTAAGTAAGACAGAAACCAAATGTGCCAAACAACGGATTGCCTTTACCACTCCACCAATTTACCATTCACATAGCACTAGGTAGAAATTACAGGTGAGAGGAAAATACAGTTCAGAAAGCATTTCAAGAATGGAAACATACACCATTACTTCTTACCAATGACACAACAAACATTGTGCCATAACACACAAACACCTGTACCCTCACTTACTTCTGGTCCGCAGTACGAAGGAGACTTGGGGCTGGAAGTGCTAAACCACGATTAGACATTGAATCATTCCATAGAAAAACTAACAAAAAAAAATTAAAA